AACGTGAAATTTAAAAGTTAAATTGTGTTTCGCTCATAAATTATGTATTCGTGATGCGGTCTCCTCTGATTGCGCGGAAACTTTGATCTTCCGGGTACATCGTATCGGTCACATAACCGTTAAGCTTGATGCACTTTTAATCGACAGATACTATCATGCCGCGAGCATTTTTGTCAATCAATTTATTCAACGCTTGACGCCTTCGCCGGTCTACTTCTCCGATCGATAAATAAGCGCGCGTCAATTATTAAATAATGTCGCCCGTTGACGTTGCAGAAACAAACATCTACTCGAACAGATGATGTATGTGTGACGATGAAAAAAGTCTCGATCGTCATCGGCTCTTTTTGTAAAGCTTATTTAATCCAAACGTGATGATTTTATTGACGCAACTCGCGCGCAGATCGAAACGGGAAACTGGTTGACGGTCGCTCCAACTTCAGCCTTAACGAGAATAAATAAATGGACTGATGAATATGCATCTTGCAATTAAGCTTTGCCGGCTACTAGAAACGATCGGGAACCCTCTCGACAGCCGCGTTACATGTATAATTTCCAACAAGGATGAATTTCTTAAGACTCGACTTGAGCGATTAGACTTCCATACGTAAGATATGGCTAGTTGAGAGACCCATAAAATATACGTGTAATAATCTAGACTAGTGTAGATATAAGAACCAGAAAGCTTCGATTTTAAATAAAATAATAAATAAAATAATTATTTTGAATAAGATACATTTGTTATAGATATTTGATTTTTTCGTTTAGATTAAATATAAAAATTAAATGAAAACGAAGAAAAACACATAGAAAGAGAGAGAGAGAGAGAGAGAGAGAGAGAGAGAGAAGAGAGAAGTTTTTTACGCAGAGTTCAAAATGACAAATAAATAAAATACAAAACTTAAATTCTCTTTGGGCAGTTAAAAGCTTTCTGAATCTCGTGGATCGCAAAAACCTAAATGGATAGTCTGTAAAAGTTGATAAGCGATGATATAATTAAATATTGGAAATTCTGATAGATTGAGGAAAAGAACTCGAATTAACTATTCATTTCGAGGAGCGTAAGCTGCTCCCGTTTATGGACGACGAAGCACTCGAATTATATCATAACGGATTTCTCAATGCTAGCGGGTCGATGTTATTTTAAGACTCGTTTAAAAAGAAGTTATTATCTTCTTCGTCGAACTCGTTAAATCTCGGGTTAACTACGAGTCCAATTATTCGAATGTAAAATGCTATAATTTTTAATGTGTAACAATATATTTATGAGAAACAGAATGTTGCAAATAATACAATGGGAATCGGTGTGCAATTACTAAATAACAAAAACAATCAATATTTCACTATCAGAAATCTTTGTATAAAAAAAAAAAAAAAAAAAAAAACGCAATTTTCTATGGACTGGCGACACTTAATTGTCGCCAATATAATCAGCTAATGAATTAAACGTTGACGAGTTATTAACGACATTAACGTCACATAAAATCAATTAATACTTTGTAATTATCAGCTTGACCATGTTGTTTAGCGCTTCCATTACAGTTTAATTACAATAATTACATCGCACTCGCGGCGTTTTACTTCGTGTATGTAGCCTCGATAAAATTTTTTAATTAGCGTGCCTCCCGCGCGCACTCTTTAATCCGAATCAAGGTTATCAATTATCTATCGTTATCGTTTTATTGCGAACCGGGTGGACGAGGTGGTTTTTCCGCGAATATGTCCGATATCTCTCCAGTCTCGGTCTTGAAGAACAGAAACGACCAACGACGAGGATCACCCGGTGTGTATCGTCGTGTGTGTGTCGTCATATTATATCTTACGTTATCGATGTACACAAACTACTTGCCTCATAGCTATGCGATCAGAGTGTGTTGCCATGTGTGCACGCAACGCAGACGATATTGCGTACACGTATCGTGAATTCCATCCGATTGGCATGCATGCGTGTCGCGCTCCATTCGAGAATCACACTGCACCGGAATCTTGTCTCATTCGGAAATATTTCGACGTTAGAATGCAATTTTCTTTGTCAAATAGATATATTCGGAGTTGAAAAAAATCGATGTAGTCAAAACACGAAAAATGCAAAACACTAGAAATTAGTCATTGTCTTTTAGTGAACGTCTTTTTAATAAATTCAACAATTGCGACGTTCAGAGTCATCCATTCCTAATAAAAAAAAAAAAAAAAAAAAAAAAACAACTGTAATAATCAAATTTAATCAATCTACACAATTTGTTTTTATTCTATAAACATTTATGTATAAACATGTTATTTTTATAGAAAAAAAGTTAAACGTCAAAGTTAAAACTCAACGTTAACTGTTTTCAGAAAAAAATATTTTTTCAGAAAGAACGCGTAAAAATTATATAATGACAGTTTTGGGAAAGCAACCGTAGGATTCATTTCCGAATGACATCCTCGAATGCAGCCATGGAATATTCAATCGTACTCAAGTATCGGTCTTACACGCGAACGGGATGCAAATCGTAAAAGCGCTTATGAAACGACGAGGGTGTGCGATGCTGCACGCGGAAGGGGAGGAGAGCGCGAAGTGCGACGCAGGAGAGGACCGCGAATGAAATGCGGGAACGCGCGCGGAGGGAAGGACGATGCGATTCCATCCACGAAAGGATGCATTAAACCTCGACGTGCATACAAGCGCGCGCGCGCGCGAATGTCGTGAAAGCGCGATTTGCGCCTCTTGGATCTACCGCGCGCCGATCGGCGACCCGCGTCGTTTCTGAGAGCGATGAATCGAACACGATTATCGATGCATTGCGAATATATACCCGTCGCGCACTGTCGCCCGATAATAAATTCTCGACCTTCTCGGATGAGAAGCGAGGAGAAGAGATCTCTCACCTCTTCGCTCCGCGATCCTTATAAACGCTTCCTCCGGAGAGGGCTGCTTCAGAACGAGGCTTCTTTTCGCTCGAGGACGTATATACACGCGGCGGTGCTTCGTAAGGTTTGCATTAAACTCGAGGAGCGCATTCTTTGATGAACTCGGTCGACGAATTTTCCTCGCTGAATAATTAATCACGTCCCTTCGCGCGCGACGCCGAAGTTTTCGACATTAAACAGTGCTGCTATAGATATATATGTATATATTATATATATATATATATATATATATATATATATACATATATACATATATATATTCTTTGCTAAATATCTCGGTGGTTACGCCGATCAGAAAGTCTGAAGAACAAGTTGGTCAAGAATTTTATAAGAAAGTAAATAACAAGATCTCTTCTGTTCAAGTAGAAAACTATTAAGTTTTGTTTTTTAATTAGAAATTTAATTAATAAGAACTTTTTTCTACAGAGATGCTTCAATATTCGATCGAGATTGAAGTCTGAATTTTTTCTCAAAACTTCATATATATATATATTGAGATTTTTTTTAAATAAAATGTTGTCGGCTGAGCGATCTCGCAACAATGTGAACTTAATTCTGTGACAAAAAAAATCTTAAAAAAAATTTACACGCGCGATACAAAGTTGAGCCGCGATTAAATGGACGTTTAGGAAATAGGAGCTATTTCCGATATCGAAGGAAGCTCGAGATTTCGGTGGCATTAGAAGCAACACGAGCGTCGATTGGGCAGGAACGCGTCTAAGGATCGCCTTTACTATAGGGCAGCTCGTTTCCGAACGTCTTTTCTCGACGCTCGCCAATAAACGGTCCGGTCGCTACCTCCAGGGCGCAAAGTCGTTTCGACAAATGAAACCTCTCATAGAGAAAATTGCAATGGCAATCATAAAGCGATACGAGGGAAAAATTGAGCCTCTCGCGACGCTGTCGTCACCGGTCTGTTGTAAACCTTTTATTAGATGAATATATCTCGTGGTTATCATGAAAATTTTAGTACGCCATGTTTGTGTCGATATTGATATACATAACAAATATTAGTTTTATCTTATTCGCTCGTAATTTAACAATAAAATTTTACACAAGCAAAAACATCATGAAAAATATTTTTCTGGAATAAAACAAATTATTAACTTATTTTTGTGTTGGTATTAAAAAAATTTGGTACAATGCGAGGAATTTATATCTCGTTCAGAGTATATCTTTTACACAGTTTTTATAGACATAACTTTTTCACGAGAAAAAATGTTCGGCAAATAAAAAATACAAATACACCTTCGTTTAACTTTCTTTCGTGTTGTTGCAAAGGCTGGTAAATTCTAAAGAGCAACTTCCGATAGCAGTTAATATTATATGGACTTGTCTGTCTCTCTCGATCTATCATAATATCCAACGGCATACAACGTGGGGGATATAAATCAAAGTTTTCGCATTCGCTCGCCGCGCTTCGGGGAAACTTCAAGTTTTGCGCTTAATTTAAGTTTGCATATTACGCGCCCAGCAACAAAATATCAATTAATTCTTGCGAAACTCATAGCCGGTCCGCAAACATTATCTCTCTTATCTGCTCATCGAGATCTATCATAAATCACACACACCGCGCCTAAACATTCGATTTCTAATGCATCGCGCGACAATAAATTTATTCTCTGACAATTACTCATTGCCCGTCCATTTCTATAGAAATCTGCACAAAAGCAAAATCCATCACCCCCGTGTCTCGATTAATCTTTGCTCGATGAACAATTTATCTTTGCTTTACTATTGTCATTTCGCACGAACGTGAACAAATGGCACACGCGCATCGTTTTCTTAATTACGCACTTTTTTCCTATCCATTTTTAATACTCCCTTCGACTCAATAATTAAATAAATCACAATTATTCGAAACTCACAAACAATCTCTGTCTATTCTCAAGATAAATGTGATTCGATAAATAAAAATTCTGGGATTATTTTCTTAATAGAAAAGTTTTCAATCTATATATACAACCCCGGTTCGGAGGAAGCAAAATCCGGGATTTATTTTCACGAAAACATCGGTATTCATATCAGGAAATACACTTTGTGGGTAAGCGGCTTTCTGTGTAAAGAAGAATGAAGAATAAGGTACTCACGTTAGCGGTGTCGTCGAGTTTCCGCTTCCACGCATCGCTACGTTCGATTAAAGCGTTCCACTGCTCCGAAAGTTTATTCACTTCGCGGCGAATGCTCCGCGTCAATTCACGCGCCTGCTCCTCGGCGCTTCTGTATCCTCTGGAATCGCCATCCAATTCTCTGCCTGCTATAAAAAAAAATAAAAAGAAAAAAAAAAAAAAAAAAAAAAAAAAAAACAGCAAATAGAAGATAAACCATTAAACCGGAACAAATCTGCACAGTTTTAATTTTTTATATATATATATTGCTGATAATTAAAGGTTTTCGGTATATTTCGCGTTTTTGTAACTTCAAAGTTTTAGGCAATTTGTTTTTTTTAAAACGTCCACTCGGAGAGTTCGGAAAATTCCAAATGTGATATTCGTTTGTCCGTGAGAATTATTTTTTGTTTTACAAAATAACAACCTTGTGTCACGCAAAATACATGATACTTGTTTACCGCTTTGAACAACGAGACGAGAACGTGCGCGCACACGATTTACGGTAGGTATCTGTGTGTGTGCGTGTGTGTGTGTGTGTGTGTTGCGCGCGCGCAACAAATACAGACTAATCGCCAACATTTTTCTGAGATTTAAAATATTGAGAAGATAAGAGAACGTAATACCTCAAGCGGAGAAATTTCTGGTCACGTTCCTGATATTACATTATACAATGCATCAATGCCATCCCCCAAGTAACATATGCGTCGAAGAGCACAAAAGAATAGGAAAGTGGAACTAACTGAATCGCGCGCGAAAAATATGCACGTATAATCCTCTTTCGAAAATTTCTCAGGGTTGTCGATCGATAAATTCGCGCGGTGGAACGATTAAACGGGAGATGTGCGGAGCAAAATCGCGTCGAAGACCAGCTGGGGCAACATCGCGAACATAAATCAACATAACACGCGGCAGATAGGGAGCCAACGAGTAGAGGTATAACGGCGGCATCGCGCGGCGTTATCAATGCTAAACATGCACGTAAAAACTGTCCGCCGCATGATACGATGCGTGATTCATAGGACAATTAATTCCCCGCGACGGGTCCGAGAACAGAGCTCATGGCCCGATTTCTACGTTACTGCGCTTCGTAACCGCGGGTCGTCTCGCGCGGTTGACGAAAAATAAAGAGATTTTCTTCTGTGGCTTGTGTCGGACGACGCCATAATCCCGCTCTTCCTCCTTCTCCCTTTTTTACGAGTTTTCCAGCGAGATATGCTCGGCAGTAAATTCCGCAATAAGGGCGTCCCGATGATATTAAAAGATAGGAAAAAAAACGATCTGCTTCAAATGGGACGTGGCCGCGCGATTATCTTTCGCGTCACGTGAAATTGATCGATCAATCTAGGAGAGAGAACGACGACTAATGGATAACAAGCCGCGGAAAAACGCGAGTAGTTTGTTGCGATAACTGCGCTCATATGTTTACGCTATGTGCCTTTGTCTTCGCACACACAATTCGTTTATAATAATAATTATATATTTATTACATAGTGTAATAGTTTTATATGTACTAGCACAAAACACAGGCGCGCGCTACGCTATTATTGTTTTTGTTTTAACATGTAGCGTCAGTGAACACAACCTGTCACCGCGATGACAGCTAGTATATACGTTTTACAAACCATATAATACACATTAGAGAGATGTCAGAAATAACGCGATTTTGAAAATCAAAATCAAAAAATAGTGAGAGGGAAAAGTGGAAAAACAACACGTGACTAAAATCGCGTGACTGTACTTTAGTCACGTGTCATTAAAAACTTGACTAAAGTAAAGTCACATTTTTCACATTAATGATCTGATATTTATGAAAAACAAAATATGTTTTTTTTTCTCGCAAACACTACAACAATATCCACAAGTGACGCCGAAGAAATAAAAAAAAAAAACAGAGAAGCTTTCTATTTGATACTTTCGGACAATTTGCGAGTTAACTCTCAATAAGAAGTGCGCTCGACCCAACGATTTCTTTCTACACTATCGAGTCCAATCTCTTGTTAAGACCGACAGGTGGAAACGAAACGACACCGAGGCGAAAGCTTTCCCGTCACTTTAGAAAATGTTGGTGTCGAAAAGCTGAGCGATCGCAGAAGAAACAACAAGACGTATCGAACGAAAAAGAGACGGTCTCCGAAAACAGTTTGAAGTGAATTGAATTAGGCGACTGTTCGCTTCATCGCTAAGCCATCTATTCAACAGTTGACGCTCTACTTTCCGGGCACGTACGCCACTACTTTATCTAGCTACAACTCGCGCTGACTTCCCACCACCCACGTCTCTCGTCCGCAACCCCTCCCAAAGTGCCCTGCTAATTCTTTCTTCCTTCGCCACCGCCGCCGTCCAGATTTCCCAGAAAGTGGGAAGTGACGGCGGAAGTAACGGCGAGATTCTCCGGAGAACTGAGCGCAAATCCCGCAGCTGTTATCGAGCAATGTGGATAAAGATGTCTAGAATCTCGCGGATTCGGAAAATCCAAAGGTTTTATTGCAATTTCTCTTAATAAAATACTAAAAAAAAAAGAAAAATGAGTGGAAAATTTTCTCAATACTAATAATTTGTTGTTTGTTCAATTATTTAATAATTATTTAATTATTTTTCGAACTCATTTTATTCAGATTAATGCCAAACGGTATTTCATATAATGTATATTGCAAACAATATTGTATTATAAATATATGTATATACACGAGCATGCACACACACTTATTATACATAAATAAAGGGTATCTCATTTTAATTATTTCAAGCAAATATCTCGAAAAATATGAAAAATATGGAAAAATGTAATAGCTTGGAAATGGAATTCACAGTGTGTTTACAAATAACAAGAGGCAGTGGAATATTTCAACCACACTCCGTGATGTACATCGGTAATGCGAATGCGAGCGCGGTACGTCAACTTTGAAGCTTCAAATCTCGGTGAATGGCTTATGCAAAAGAAACAAGTAACGTCTTGAAAACGTTTCAACGTCAGCTATATATAAGAATATGCAATAAAAAGTACGCAAGTTTCCATGAAAAAATTTACAAAATTAAATTAATTAATCTTAACGAAGTAATCAAATAAATATCAGCATCTCCTTTGATATCCTGTAACTTTTATCTGAAATGTATGTTTCGAGATAATTGCCTGGGACAATTATAAAACAGAATACCTTGTTGTATAATTAGTTGTATATAAATTTCCGTCAAATTGTCTATTCGAAGTAGATACTTTATTTTACACATAAGCAATTTAAAAAATTTTTATTCTTCTTGAGAACTTCTAAAAGTATTAGAGAATTGACTTGCACAATATGAGGTTCTTAGCTACAACCGACCGGTCAACTATTTGCGTCTAATCAATCATTCCAAAAAGGAGCTATTGACACACGCGTAAGATGTATCGTTCCAATCAATCTCGCAATACGTACACAAAGGATCGTCTCTCGTCGTTGTAATATAAAAAGAAATCTTATCTTATCTCGATGCAAATTGAATAAAGTTTGAATCATCTCTCTCAATTGTCTCTCTTAATAATAAACATCACGCACAGATTAGTGTAATTATTAATTATCAGATTCGAAGAATCTTTTGAAACTCGCGAGAGTTTCCAAAGCGACGTGAGTTTTTGAAGTTTTTGCTGTCAATAAAATTAGAATTTAAATCATCAAAACTTGTACGTAAAAATAAAATTCAGATTTTAGCTTTAAATCAAGTAAATGTTGGCGAAGTTGGCGAATAATTTGTCCTTGGCGAAATTCAACATCTAGATTGTATAATCCAGCCTTACGGCTCGAATATTATTTCGTCGAGAAATTTATCGACGTTGCGCGGCGCGGCCGGGCCGGTTACACTCGATGCCGCGCACGTTTCGCGAAACGTGACTTCCTACGGAATGAGCGAAACCGCGTGCGCGACCGTCGCTCGAGTTGCTCGCTCACAGGGGCCACGCCACGTTATTGAGATCAAATCCGTTGTACGCAGAGCGAAACTCTATCGTTACGGTTATTCCGGGATCTTACATCGGATATTACATGCGGCACGATGAATGACAATGACCGCCGCTGACAGCCGCGGTATTCAACACATAGATGTGTCATGTGTGTTGTAGATCAAGCGATACACGTTGAACTTCACGCGTCCGCGAATACCGGTTTCAACGACAAATGATAGCGTGTTCCGTTTCGTGTAACTGTAAATAGTTTTGTACCTACATAATGTAACTTAATTTGTGCGACATATATGTAACAAAATAATAAGAAAATTGTTTTTATTTTTTGTTTATAAATTCATACATCTGTTTTTACGACATAATTAGTTTACTCGATTCTCTCGATGAAATATCTGGGAAATGTAAAAACGTATACTTGCATTTAACGAAATAATTTTGTATATTCATCTTTAACATATCGATTGCAACATCGCATTCCGTGAATATTAAATACATAGGCTGCTATACGGATGATGACAATAGTATTGGCAAAACGAGTTTACGTTTCAAAAATAATTAAATCAATGTTTTGACAGAGACTAATGAACGCTCCATCAAAACTTGCTTAAATTATCCGGTTGTTGTACGTTTGGCTGTTTTGATATTTGGCGTCAATCGCGCGATATATTCTGTGATAAACGATAATCACTATCATTCGCTAACATGTCCTGTGTGTACATTCCAAATGTACCGGATAATAATTCAATAAAGATTAACGAACGTTGTTAATTGCGTACGCATTAACAATATACAGTAAATTCTTTTTAGATTCTCCGGCTTCGAGAAGTAAATTGCAATTTAAACATGACACCTCCTGCATGTTCCATTTGGCAAAGAATTGTTTATTTGTTTGACCGCTTTGTAATTTTCGAGTTTAAAAAACAAAGTTTACACACAACTATGTTCAACAGCGATTCTACAAATAACAAATTCTATTGGCTAATTAATTTAAGTAATAACGGCAAATTCTGGCAGAGAGAAGAATGTATTGACGCTGGATCGTGTTGTATTTTCCGTCGGGACTTCAACACGTCCTATCAACAAGTTTGCAGCCTCCTTCGGGAACACCTCTTCTAAAGCCTACGTTTGCCATCGATATTACTGTACTACGATACTTTGTAACTCGATTGAGAACCCCACGTGGTTTACGTTTTCCTGAAGTAATTCTTTTTCTATTGCTATGAGGTAAAAAAATAGTCTCGGATTTTTTTTTCACTGAAGTTAAATATAAAAACCCAACTGTAATGGAAAGTTTTTAAATACATAATATGTGAAAGCGCAAATTTAACGCGCGAACTAATTAACTTATTTGTTAAAATAGTGAACTAGTTACAAAATGAGTTGATTTTTCTTTTAAAACCCGATAAGAATTTTAAAATTGACTAACAATCGAAATAGATACATTTGCTTTTTTTGCCAAATTAGAAAAAAAATTAAAATTGGATCTTTGTTAAATAAAAATCTAATCTTCATGCACTTGATATGCGATGTTCAAAACCGCGCGAGTCAAAAATAATTTATAAAATTAAATTTCCGCACGTTCGATTTCAAAACGAATCAAAGAAATTGAATTCATCTTGATGTATTATTTAGTGCCTTCCTCTCAGTTTTGCCGTTGTTATTCAATCAGAGACGACACAACATGAATAAAACATCTCGTTTGAATTTCACTACTTTCCCAGTTGCTTATACAAAAAAACGGAAACTAGAAAGTGTACATTTGTAACTGGTTCGAAACCCTTCACATCGGTTCTCGATAGAGTTACGTTAACACCGTCCACTAGAAGTTTATCTCCAAGTGAAATACTTGAAGCGATATTACGATACAATGTATGTCATGTGTTTGAGAGAAGAGATAGAGAAAGAGAGAGAGAGAGAGAGAGAGAGAGAGAGAGAGAGAGAGAGAGAGAGAACGCAATTCACACAATGGTTANAAAAAAAAAAAAAAGATCTATTGACATACATCTACAAAAAGAAACTTGCAAATGAAAATACATTAATATTTCAGAGAATAATTTTTAATTAAATTTTAATTGTTCGATACGACAGACTTTTTTTGTATTTTATTTGATCAGATTGTCTGCTGCTTTTTTTTCGTAAAATAATTGGGATTGATTTCTAGTGAGTCACTTTTTAAATTTATAAAAAATAAATAATATCACAAGTCTACTGGTTTCGGAGTATCTCGAGCTTTCTTAATAAATATTCGTTCAACAGAATTACGGTGAATGAAATATTCAGAATACCCGCGTTTCTTACTCTTATCAAGCACGAAAAAGGAACGACAATAAAGAATGAAGCTCGTTTCTGCTCTCGCGGGTTAGGCCGCTGAAGCAAGGGAAGGAAAAAAAAAAAAAGAAAACGCAAAAAATATTTCTCAGAATCTTCCAGTCTGGGAATCTCGGAACGAGCACAATCGGCGGTTGTTCTTAAATTCTTGCCGTGGCACGAAATTCTCGACTGGCACGAAAATTCACGAATTCAAGAGAACGAGTGTAAGGTAAAACACACACACACATACACACACAGAGTTCGTGATTTTATGCAAATCTTTCTACCTATGGAAAAAGAAGATAATGTGTATTTTCATACATGTGATAAAATCGCAAATCACACGTTTAATGCACTCCACGTGAGATCGTTACTGTCTTCGAAATTTTTTCACAATAAAAAAAACTTTTGAAAAAGAAATGTAAAAACTTTTTCTCTCGTTAAAATTCAACGCTTGTTATTCACATGTCACGTTCTCTCAAGTATTTTTTTTTTTTTATCTCAAATATTTTTTATATTTCAACAATAAAAAAAAAACGAAGATTATTATCGAACTTTTTTTTTTATATTGATAAGTGGTTTTTCTCGCGAATTCGAGACAACGCCACTGAGAGATTAATGATAGAAAGACAATGGCGAAGTAAAACAATCCGTTAATTAAATCAAAGGGCAATGGAAACAAAGAAGGGAAAATCCTGTGCTCTCTTCCAAACCGATAGGCCGATGAGATACTCCAAGTTTTTTTTTTTTTTTTGCCTCCTGTCGGTAATTGGTATGAAAAATTACGAATGCAAGAATAAAAGCACGAATTGGGTGGGATTGGAAGGTGCACTACCGGCTCTTAATTACTGGACCCGCACTATCGGCGAACTCAGTCTAGCGTTATGAGGTGGTTTCATGGAACTAACGACGAATGTACTTGGCCGACTTTCTTTGTTCTGTCGTGAGATGTTCGTTCGTGCGAACCGAGTGGATTTCGGAGCTTTTTGATAGTTTCTTACCAAAATAATTTTTACACTTTTGTTATTGTCGCAAAGATGTGTGTATTTTATTTGCAATGTCAACAACGCGAAAATTTAATTTTCTTAAATTGAACTTGTATTATTGTTTTTGTTTTATAAAATACAAATTGCATAAAATGCGTACGTATATGTCTATATCTTTTTTTTTATAGTTAAAAAATGTTAACAACTTTATTTAACAGATGAAAGTTCACAATTTATAATTTATACGTTAATTCACGACTTACCTTCGGAGTCCGAAGTATCCGACAACGGAGGCTCATTGGCGATGTACTGGCGGCCGCTCAGCAAATTGTTCTCTACGACCGGTCGTTTGTCCTCAAGCTGCCTCCTGAAACCACGATGGTCGTCCTGCAAAAGAGACGCATATAAATCGTGAAACAAAAATAACGAGACAAGGAGCATCGGTGTCTGGTGCAGTGCCAGCTTTTCCCCTTGGCGTTCAACCTTTCGCGAGGAGAAGTTCTGAGAGGTCAACTTCAACTAAATTCATCTCTTTACTATGATAAGTAGATGTGACTCGAAATCGCGGAACTGATTGTCAGTGCCGCGATATTATCTCTCATCGCGATATTCTTTTCTGATAGTATCATAGGATTTCTATTATATTGTATAAAAAAATCTTCAAGAAAAAATAACAAAAAAATATTATAAAAAACAATTAATTTAGAATTTATGTTTGATTTTATTCTTGACTTGATCTCTTACCAAGACACAAAACAACGAGAAAAAATAATATCCATCTTAAAACAATCTCTGAACGTAGATAATACGATGATACGTAAAATTAAGAAGTAAAATGTCTTTGTGTGACACACAAAATGCTGCTGACGCCGCATCAGACGTCAACGTCGCGCATTTGTAATTAAGTTTGACGAAACGCTACAGCGAGGTTGAAAATTAGCCCGTTGCAGTCGGTGAGAAAAAGTCGAGTGGGGTAAAAAGGCACTCTTACGATATTGCACGACTGCTGGTTAACGAGATTATCTCTCGTCGTTCGTGGGCTTAAGAGTTTGCCGCGGGCAAGATGCCGCGAACTTTTTTCTAAACGTCAAGAGATGCCTAGACGAGGCGTGTTCATCTGGCTTACATTTTTTATTTTATTTTTTTTTTATTTTTTTTAAAAACATCGCTCTGAAAAGAAAACTTTATTGCGAGCAAAACGAACGCGAAAGGTAAAAAGATCGCTTTTAACTGTTGCCCAGGTCGAATAATTTTTAAACAGATCGTTTTCGCGATTATCAGCATAAATAAATATCTTACAGGTTATCATCCTTGGATTAGAAAATTGTTTTTTCTTCTTTTTAATAAAATCATATATTCTTTGCAAGTGAGTCCGTTTATGTTTTTTGTTTTTTTCCAAAGCGATTGAGAAAATAAGAATGTGATATATAACAAATTTTCGCGCACACAGCAAATAAAAGCAAATATATTTTGATTTGATTATTGGCGATTTTAGTGATCATCACATCTAAAATCTCTGATGAAACAAAACAGTTATTCGCGCGCGCGCCACTAAACTCGAAAATTCAAGAGAGTAATCTTGAAACTGATATAATGTGATAAAAAATACAATTCTGATGACATTACACATGTTGTTTAAATTGGCAAAATTTATTCCGCGCAACGGATTTCGCGATATATCCCAGCCATTAATCATTCTTATATTTTTCTTCGTTATTTTTTTCTCGTTTTTGCTCCATTTCGAAGAAAATGGATGGCGCGTTCTGTAAGCGATAGGATTCTCATTGCACTTTTTTGTTTTACTTCAGTTTTTCTTACATCTCCGTAATTCTTCGTAATTCTCGTTCTAAAGCAGATTCTTCTTCTAATATTTTTTTCTACCATGAATTGTTACATGAATTATATGTCTTCTGACAAAAATAAATGACTTTATAGAAATTGACTTTGCGATACCGGTAAATTACAAACAAACTGGTCGTAAACATTCACATCTTCGTGGAAATTTACGCACACAAATGCGCTTACAGACGTAAATATGAGATGATGATAAAGAAACTGGAACGACTGAATTAGGACTGATCCATCCAATTAGCAGTTGAACATTTTATAATTGCTCGGAGCAAGACGATGGTTTCCTTATCATCGCGGTTATCGTTACACGAGGTTAATTGCGAGGTAACCGCATACACACGGCAACAACGCTGATGTGTATCACGGTAATATACGAGCATCTGACACTAAGAATCTCGAGCATTCAACTGCCGCCCGTATAACTCGCACTATTATCACGCGGAAAGATAAATTGTTTCAGAACAATTTTTATTATCTACATATATATATAGAAGAACAGTCCTTTATCTCGTTATTCATACGCGCAACGCAACACACACACATATACAAAAATAAAAAAAAAAAAGATATTACACGACGAACGACCCAATTATTCAGAAAAATTTTATTTCACTGTTCTACAAAAAATATGACCCATTTCTATCGTATTTTTGTATACGCGAACTATGATAAATAATAAAATTCAACGCAAATGCAAGATACAATTTTGCGAATGGAAAACTATTCGTTTTGTTAGACAACAACAAAAAATATAAACTATAATCACACACATTTGTCCGCTGTGACTATCTTTTTTTAATCAATAAATCTAAAAAATCACGTTTATTGGTTCTTGTGTGAATTGCCTTTTTTTTTTTATCATGAAACAGCGTCTTCTTTTTTATTCACAATCTTTTCAGTTAAACAAATCAACGTTATTATCCATCGGGAAGAAATGTTTCACGAGTGCGAGAACAGACCTCTGTAAATAATTAAGAAGAGAGAGTAAGAGAGAAAGAGAGAAAGAAAGAGAAAGAGAGAGAACCCAAGCTCTCTCTCTCCCGAAAAAGAAACAGACCGGCGTAAATTTGGAGAGGTTGACAACCGGCGAGTGCTTCCCCGAAAAATAACTTCCGAAACATTCGTTGTTCTCGCAAACGGAAAGCGCAAATTTTACCGGCAAGGCAAAACAAAAATATCAATCGCTCGCGTGGTTGCACAGGTGCGCGCCGAGGAAAGATGGGCACGACGAAAAAAAAAAACGCGAGTACAAGCTTCCTATTAAAAAATACAACGAGCGTTATTTCGTCGCGAAAGCACAATCCATTCGGCGTTCATATCGAGTCGATACACGCGTTTCCTCTCTCCGTGCGGCGCGGTAACGCCGGCGGGTTTTGATTTATCTGTCGTATTTCGCGAAATAGTTCGCGTGCAGCAAGGACGGATACGCGTAAACGCGAAACGCGTCGTCGTCGCCGCCGTGTAACAACGCACGGCGTCGTTTACGGGTTATACGTCGTATTGCCGTCGCATTGTTCCCCGAGTTTCACGGGCGAATAGAATTTTCCAAAATGCCTGGCGTACGAGAAAAATGACCGCGTGTGTGCTCGTTACGTTGTCATTGCAGAGACGACTATTTGTGCGCGATTCCGACTTTCATTCCGATTGCGCGAACGCAATGAACGCGCTTTCTAATTACGCGCCTCTCTTTCTCTCTCTCTCTCTCTCTCTCGTTTGGATTTCGATAGAACGGGTCGTTTCTAGTCGGAACGAGCAAGATTCCGTTTTATTATATCGTGAGAACTACGTACTTCCAACTTTTATGCAAAAACAATATATACATTTATTCTACAAGAAAATCATGTGACTGTGTGTGTGTACGTGTTGTCGTTATACAAACAACTCATGTAATGACAATCTCTGTATTAGCTTTCTGTAAATGCGCCACCGCATGCACGCGGCGATGTAAAGTGCTCGAGTATTATTTTGGTTTCTGACTTACGTAATTTCTCGATAATCGATTTTGATTATAATTGTCTGTGATAATTATTAAAAGTGACACAACGTCAAGTTACAGTTTCAGAGTCGTATCATGCAACTCGCCTCGATATTGCGCATATCGCATTCGCTCTCCGATTCGTGAGTCGCTTGCAATTAGATTAATCTTCGGGTTCCCTTGAGCTAACGCCATTTCCAGAGAGAGGCTTATTTCGAGCTTGAAGGTGAGGAGCTTGATTGCTCTACCAATCACTCCTATCCTACTTATTGAAATAATTCTTGGTCGACGACGTCAATCAAAATCGTAATATAATTTCTTAAATGTCACAACGGTCAGATCGCCTTCAAATGTTATTATACTCGATGTAATATTTTGTATTAATATCTATTAAAAGTTTAATTGATCGCTCGCTTACTAGAGCGAGCGTGGAGCTCAAGAAAAATTCACATCTATTTTCACCGTCGTTAAAATACATTCCCGATGAACGTCGCATACATATTTTCACGTGAATGTGTTTAGAATATCGGCGCAATTATTTAGACCGCATATGCATGAGACTAGAATTTATATTAATTAACGACAAAGTTGTTTAAATTGAATTTCGCGTATAATCAAATTTACATTAACCGCGTGCATTCGCACTTTCCCGATATAGGCGATCAAATTTCAAACCGCGCGACGATAATCTCGCGACAATTTCGTTTATGATAATTATTATATCCCTTTGTTTTAATTGACGTAATTGTATTTATTATAACATATGTATACATATATATATATATATACATGGATTTAAGAGAGAAACGGGAACAATACAATTTCGAAATCGGGATAAGCAATTACGTCGGGAAACAACTGCTCGGATAAAGTAACTCGCACTCGTGTTACGGGTGCGAGAGTTTAAATTCCGTGCTCGATGCGAACCCGTAGGAATGTAAGGAACGCACGTAGCGGTGGTGGTTGCTGTGCTTGTGAGCACAAATCCCGACTCGGCGAAAACGGTGGCAACATTATTGCGAACCTTAAGTTAGTCCCTTAACCTTAGATACTTGATGTTTACAAATTGCAAGCAAATAAATCTTGCAAGAAGATATAAACTCCTCAGGTCTCTCACACAACTTTTTTCTCTCTTATTAAACAAAAGTTCTTTCGAAAGGGAATTTCATTTGTATTCATGATGTGCGCATAATCGATAATCTTTATCCTCTTCGCTCGAGTAATTAAGGATAATCGATAGGTAAGTTCCTACGTAGTCTACAGCGCGAGTGACAAATACACGCTCGCGGATATGGCCGCACGATGACATCAATGATCTGGTCGAGGGACATGCGGCTTATCACCTCCGTACACTCGGATACTACCTGTATAGAAGCTTCTGCAAGCCGGCAACATGCGTGTTCTAATCTGGATTAGTCCGAACTAGCATGCTTTTGAACATCGCGCCGCGGGAAGGATATTCACACATAAATTGACCCGCCAATGTAATATACGTGCGAACATATATTTGCGTTGATTATCGCACGCACACAAATCGATTATCGATTTGAGAATACAAAGAAAAAAAAAACAGAATCCGAGAACGCAAATACTGAAACCGCAATCTTTTAAAAGTAAATTCACAAGAAAAATAACAAAGTCATTAAATCGAGTTAAAGATTGTGTTGGAAAGAAGCAAAAAACAAAAAAAAATAAAAACAAAAAATAAAAATTACACCCGTTGTTAAATTAGGCTCGACGAAATTAATGTAAACGGCAGTGACTTCGACTGTAGTAGGTATTTAGCGAACAATTGACGCGCGAGAGAGCGGCGAAATAATTGAGACGTGCGTCTCTCCATAAAGCGGAACATTCAAACGTGACTAGAATACGTAAATATCCATTTCAGGTGGGTTGTCGTGTCTCACCAAAGACAGTTAAACACTCGCTTCATATAGGATATGAGCTTACGAGTAATTACATTCTATTCGTCCAATCAGCTTACGTGAAGCGAAAGCTTCGCAAGCCTCTCCGCGAGAACTGCCGCGGGATCGATTTTGGATACATAGTATATCATGTATCCAAAGGGAAGTAATTCTCAACTCTCTCTCTCTCTCTCTCTTTCTCTCTCTCAAAGTTTGAGATTGAATAATGAAACTGGCGCGAGAGCATCGAGAATGCTAAATATATAAATTAATTCGTCTTTCGAAGATAACAAATACACAGAAGAAGACGACAATAATAGAACGTGGAAAGTTACTTGAGCGAGAGAACTCTCGCAGATTTTTGGGCGACAAAACGGAAACTTGGAGTTCAACAATCGATACGCGAAATGGCCAACTATTCGCGGCGACTTACCTGTTGTTTTTGCAGCGCGGCCACATCGCCGCACACGGGTCCAAGGCCGGTAAGCTCTGTGTCTTTTCTTATCACCCACTCGATGAGCTCGCGCAACGATAGCAACAGTGCGTTCCAGTGTTCCGCGTTGCTCTCCAGTCGATTTCTGAAAAACAAACAAAACAAACGTGCGCGTTGTAAATAAAACCGATATATAGATATATATATATGTATTTCACACACACACACACACACGTCGAACATTAAACTACAAAGACGAAGAGAGAAAACACAAGAATGTAAGAATATCAGAATAGTGAATCGAACTGAAGAAGTGTTTGTGCTGATTCAACAAGTTCATAAACGTTATCTTACACGTCTGTCTGGGAGAGACGTCTACCTCTTTTCAACCGGCGCGCTGACATTCGCAACGCGCGGCGGCGAGTTTATACGACGAGAGTGGCGCATAAAACGTTCGACTCGTCGTAAATACGAGTGAGGAGAGTACATATTTGTTGGGGACAGACAGGTAGGTAGTCGTCTCGTTAAAAGAGAACGTTGGAAAGAGATTGGTAAGGCAGAGCGCGGCGCGAAGTGGAGAAGATGAAGAGAAAAGCTAATGCAAAGCCTCGGCGTCGCTGGCGCCAAAAGAAACATCGGACGATGAGTGAAAAGGGAGAAAAAGAGATAAACAACCGTAGCGCGCGAGGGTGAAATATCTGTGTGAATAAAAGGGGAAACCGATAGATACTTAAGATAAATGGATCAGGATGTGGAGTGATTGAAGAGAACGAATGAAACAAGTCGATGTTAGGAAACAAGACGGAAAAAGAAAAAAAAATGACGAGCCAGAGAGAAACTCAAAGAACAGAAATCTCAAAAAAAAAAAAAAAAAAAAAAAAAGAGTACGGAAATGGAGTGTGCTTGCGGATAAGACGCGGTTCGAGTAAAACGAGTAAATACTGAAAGCGAAAAGAGTCCCGAGAAAATTAAAACGAGCAAGCGTTCCGAGAGACGCGCGGCGCGACGAGAAGTAAACCGTGGCCGGAAAAAGGAAGGCAAAGCCGATCGCAGGCGAGAAGGAAAAGCGATTTCAGGCAAATTGGAAAAATACGGAAAAGGCGGCGCAAACGGCGAGGGAAAACGCCGACGTATAAAACCGAAGAGAGACGAGTGGGACAATAAGAAGCCGAGGCGAGAGAAGAGATGCTGTGGGCGGCAAAAAAAAAATAAAAACTAAAAAAAATAAATAAAAGATAGGAAACTCGAGACGACAAGATCAAGGGACGCGAATAAATGGAGAGCGATTGTTGATAAGTGCAAGAGAAAGAGAGAGCGAGAGAGAGAGAGACAGAGAGAAGATAAAAAAAAGAAAAATGCCTTATCAGAATAGAAAAAAAGGAACCAGATTGAACTTCGGAGTTGGACAAAAAAAAAACCTCCAAAAAACATGTGAAGAAAAATTAGATCAGGAGATACCTTGTGATGAAAGAGAGGAGTATGTAAATGGCGAAATTTGCGACAGAGACGATAAAATTTCCGTGAGATTCGACGACGAACGTGCGAGACGTCGCGGTAAGCGAGTCGGGAAAAATGGATGAAGAATAAATATTGAAGGGAGCATAGATAAGGGATAACGTCGACGTGTTTTGCTAATAGTAAGTAAATAGGACTGGACGGAAGTTGCCGGAAGCGTGAAATAAAATGAGAGACCGGTGGGAAATCAATGAAAGGCGCGAGAGAAGGAGAGGACGGTCTCAAGAAGAATGAGAACTCGTGACATGCACCGCTGGGAGAAGGAAACGGAAGCAAAGGAAGCTGCAAGGAAAAACATCGCGAAATAAAAATCGAAAGAATTAATAATCCGAGAAGATGATCTCCTCCCATAGGTAAGTTTTTCACGCACGTACATCAGATCCGACGGATATACATAGTATCTGCGGAAGTGAATGAAATCGAAAAGATTTCAGATTTATCGCAATTGATATAAATAATAGAAAATGAAAAAAAAAAAAAAATAATAATTCACAAAAAGTCGCTATAACGTGCGAAATGAAGTTAACTAACCGCACTTGACACGGCAATGTAAAAATAAAATGCGAGATGTAAAAAAAAGTGAAGGGAATAATGTACTCCGCGGGGACGCAGAAAAAGGAGATAACACAAGTAACATTCCGCGCTGTATATATATATATCCTTCTATTTTATTTCGTGTTTAACTTGCCGTCTATTATCTTGTCGGAACGACTCGTACGCGGATAAAATCCAAAGTGGATCCAAGAATAAAGAAGCTCCCGCATAGTACGAATTAAAGCGGAAGACAGAGGCTCGGGACGAGTGCGGCATAAAGAGGTAGGAAGCGCGCGAAGGAGACGCGCGGGAGAGTCTCTCTGAATGGCGCAGGAGGAATTCTCGAGCGAGGATAAAGGACAACCGGCCACCAGAACAACGAGAACGCGTCGTCGTCGTCGTTGTCGTCGTCGTCGTCGTCGTCGTCGTCGTCGTCGTCGTCGTCGTCGTCGTCGTCGGTTCGCGGAATAGACGAAAGAGGAAGATAAAGGTGCCGTGCACAAGCGAAAGGAGGGCAGGAAGGATGGCGGTTGGGATTTAGATTTATATTTCGCCATTGTTGCACCGCCATCGTCGGCGGCACCCACTTACTGGGTCGCATCCCCGACAAACCCCATCGTCCCTTTCCCATCCCTCCCGTCGCACCGTCAACTCCGTTTACGGAGAAACCGGCGTCGCCGGTTCTCGTATCGCAAAGAAACAGCCCCGAGTCCGGATATATTGCGGTTATTGTAACGTCGATGAGAGCTCCGCGGAATTCCGCGCACTTGTGCAATTCGAGAGAGCGCGCACGTATATACGTCCCTGTGCACACACAGGGACACATCCACGCTGAATGGTATTGCACTCCTCCCGTGGAGATAAGGACGTAAGGATATTTCGCGCGACGGATGGCGGTGTGGTGCGGGTTACCGAAAGAAATCGTCCTCATCGCTCCGACGAATAGCGAGAATAAACTTTTCTCGCGCGTTTGCTGAATGCCATATCGCGCGGTCGGTCTGACGCTCGCTCGAAAAATTGATTCGGTTGCTCGGAAGAGCGAACGATCACGAGATCACGTGCGCGATCTCGTGCTTTAACAAACAAATTAGATTCAAAGTGAGATAATAAATTTATCTCGATGAAATGTAAAATTTGTTTACACTTTTGATTGGGATCGCTAGAAAAATTAATTAAGATAAAACGATTAATATATAATGAACACGTTTAAAGATTAATCACACGTACAGAAGAAATCTGTGAAAACTAATTTCTTATTCAATCCGGCACATTCCTTAAAGATTCATATCACAACGTCGTCTGAAACTGATTACTTTTAATTAATCACGCCTCATGTATGGACACCGGCAATTTATCGCGCGTAATTGAGAAAAAACGAGGTCCGAGTGATTAATAGAACACGTCCGTCGGACCCGCGTCAGTAATAGAATCTTGGTCACGAAAGGCGAAGTTGGCGGCACATCTATTCTCGCTCGTCGTCCGGCTGCCAGAAACAGAGGAAGCGTCCGCATCAACGGAACGAAGGATATACTTCTCGTTCGTGCGATCGCATTTCAATTGAATGTTCGGTAAAGCGACGCTACAACGTCGCGAACACGAAGAGGAAGGCGAGAAGAAGTCGCTCTGCAAAGCGAACGATCTTTACGACGTGTGCCTGGTTGATGTAAAATAAATCATCCGGAAATTTCTTGGGTGGCTATAAAATCTGCCAAAGGGACGTCACGTTCCTCGACATCGACTCGATAAAGTACCGATGTATAGCCTCAAGTAAATAAATTATCAAGCAGCATTCTCGTTTAGATTTTATTGATAAAGTTAAGTCGCGCAACCGAGACAACACGATTTTTACGAGCGGTAGAAATCGTTTAGCGCATTAGTCGGTTTTTTACAACGGAGGGAAATGGCTATGTGTCCTTCATTTCTCTTTCACTCGCGAAAGATAATATTTTGTATGTAAAAATATCAATCGATTTTAATATAATCGTAAATGTGTGTGTGTGTGTGTGTGTGTGTGTGAATGTATAAAATATTTTACGGAGAAATAATATATAAAATATTTTTAGCGAAAGCTTTTCGTCCTCGTGAGAACCATAACAATATCATCTCACAAAAAATGCTGGAGATAATGATATTCTATAATAATAGGAAATCAATATCTCGCGCGCGGCAGGCGGATATAACGGCTTTTTTTTTGCTTTTTTTTTTTTTTCTTCTTTTGTCGCGCGATAAAGAAAAGCGTGAAATAACATTGACCAAAAGTTTGCGGAAAACTCGATTATGCGAATACGAGTGTCGGTGTAATTCGAGTTCGTCGCTCTATTATCTCGGAAAGCGAGTGAAGTATATACGAAATTGAATTGCGTGCGCGCGCGCGCGCAAGACAAAACACACGCCGACAAAACTTCTGATTACGCGAGATCGCTTGATTTCGCGTATGCATTATATATATATATATATATACATACGTACGTACATACATACGTGCTCGCAGATAAAGGAGACAATTTACAATGGCGAAACGCGCAAGCTTTCGACAAACAAGGCGCTGTAAGTCGGAACGCAACAAACGTGACATTGATAGTCCCGCGGATTTTGAAGCAAGTCCGTGTTGTACAAAACAAGCTTCCGACGACGTCGAAATTCTGAAACGCGTCTTTAATCCACTCCGCGTTGTCGAACGCGTTTAGGAAACGTCTGAAAACACAGGGAAGTTGTTACGCGTTTCGGGCTTTACGTCGCGGATTTGGCCGGAAACGTGGATTATTCAGGAAATAACGGAAGCGATTCAACGAGAATCCGGAAAGAGAACGTGGTGGTTCCAGTAACTGGAACGAGATTCGAAACAAAAATGAAACACGTGAAAAGCAATGGAATTTGAAAATTAAATTCCTGGCGGGGGTTCAGGTCGTCCTTCTATATACGCCGCTCACTAATCTGAACTTTGGTGATACTGTTACGAACTGAATATAATATTTGATTAAAACAATAAAAAGTATGTGCAAAGTTTTTTTTTTTTATGTCGCACATATATAAATAATGAAAACCTTCGTAAAATTTAAACGTAATATTTCTGTAAACGTTTAAAAGAGTTTGAGA